TGAAACATTTAGTGTTGTAGTCAAATCCTCAACTATTCGAGTAATATTCAGTCTTGTTGTGTATTATGGATGGGATATATAACAGGTTGATGTGAATAATGCTTTCCTTAATGGAGAGCTCACTGAAAAGGTCTACATGGATCAGCATGAAGGTTTTGTTCACCCTCAGTATCCTCATCATGTTTGCAAACTAATCAAAGCACTCCATTGTTTAAAATAGGCACCAAAGGCTTGGTTTGAAATGCTTAAGAAGACCTTTGTTAATTGGGGTTTTGTTCATTCTATAGCTAATCCTAGCTTGTTTGTTTATCAACAACAAGGCAAATTGATGTATGTTTTGGTGTATGTAGATGACATTCTCTTGACAAGGAATGATGATGAGTTGGTTCAAGAAACTGTCAAGAAACTCAATACTCAGTTTGCACTAAAGTCATTGGGTTCTCTCAAATATTTCCTTGGTTTTGAGGTGACAAGAACTAAATCAGGCCTTCATATGAACCAAGAGAAGTATGCAAAGGATTTGTTAGTTAAAAGACTGCAACCCGTGTGTTACTCCAATGGCTGTGGGTACAAAGTTGGCTCTTGAAGATAGTGAAGCCTATGACAACCCAGCTCTTTATCGGAGTACTATTGGTGCCCTGCAGTACTTAACACTATCTAGGCCTGATATTTCTTATTCGGTTAATAAGTTGAGTCAATTTTTAAAGGCCCTTACTCAATTACATTGGCAGGCTTGCAAAAGGTTCCTAAGATACATTAAAGGCACTATCAACTTTGGTGTGCAATTTAGCAAAAGTAATAAACTTAATTTGGAATGTTACACTGATGCAAATTGGGCTAGTAATCTTTAGGATAGAAGATCAACTAGTGGTTGTTGTGTGTACTTTGGTTCCAATTTAATACAATGGCATTCCCGAAAACAAAAGGTTGTGGCTCTTTCTTCAACCGAGGCAGAATATAGGGCTCTTGCTCAAGGTTCTACTGAGTTGACCTGGTTTTGCAACTTGTTTACTGAAATTGGAGTGTCTTTACTCAAAGTTCCCATGCTATGGTATGATAATTAAAGTACAAGTTTCCTTGCTTCAAATACTGTCTTCCATAGTAGGACTAAGCATATTGAGCTTGATGCTCATTATGTAAGGGAACAAGTTACAACTCATAAACTGAAAGTTCAATATGTCCCCACTGAACTTCAAAGAGCTGACATTTTCAGTAATACACTTTTAGCATCCAAGTTTGAAAACTTAAGAGACAAACTTAGAGTTCAGGCACCTGCTAGTTATGCTTCTACTTCTAAGTCTAAGGCATAAATGTTTGTGTGATGGTTATCAATTGATAATGTTGCACTAATTTGTGAAATCCAAAGGGTGTGCTAGTTCAGTTTGCGTTACTGATGTGACTAATTTTCTGAAGTTTTGGTTGGCTAATGTTTGTGTAATTGCTTGACTAAAAGTTGTCTGATAGCAGTTTGAAAGGTTGAGGATTTTTTTTTTTTTCTGCTATTATGCAGAGCATCTACTGGATGTTTGAGAGAACTTTTGCAACTTATATGCAGAGTGTTTACTGCTTATATACAGGGTATTCTCTGATGATTACTTGTGAGCAGAGTAGTGGATAAACATTTGGAGGAATAATGTTACTTTCCCTGAGCTAAAATGTCTGTTGTTTTTCTTAAAGCTTCTTTGTTGAGCTAAATTGATTACTAAGCTAAAATCTCTGCTGCTATCTTGGGTAATCTAGCAGATGCACTCTAGAGGAACAACTAGATTTGAGGCAAAATATTTGCTGTTCTCCTTAAGCTTCTCTGCTGAATTTTTCTTGAAGTTTCTCTGCTGGCAGTTTGGTTGTTTGGTTTACGGGAGGATGTTAGGATATAAACCAATATTGACTAATGAATGGAAGAATAAATGAGGTTTGGTTTACGGGAAGATGTTAGGATATAAAACAAAATTCAGTTGACTTGTTGATCAGCTGACTAGGATAGTTATTAAATGTTGTACTCATTGTTAGCTCAGCTTATCTTGTATAAAAACAACTGTAACTACTTTACTTTTAATAAAAAAAATAAAAACACGATAGTTTTCTCTCTTCTTCTTCTCTGATTTTCTTTGTTCCTATTGCGTGCTTCTTCTTTACTAAGAAAATAAATAAAGAGAAAGAGCATTGGAAGAATGTACTATTAAGAATTATAGCGGTTGTGAAAAATCTTTCAAAAAATAATTTGGCATTTCGTGGTACAAATGAGAAGATTTATCAAGAAAATAATGGAAATTTTTTGAGTTTAATTGAAATGATTGCTGAGTTTGATCCAATAATGCAAGAACACCTTAGACGTATTCAAAATGGAGAAATTCATACTCATTATCTTGGTCATAATATACAAAATGAGTTGATAAATATTTTAGCATTAGAAATAAGAAATACCATTATTAAAAAAAAAAAAAAACAAATCAAAGAATCAAAATATTATTCAGTTATACTTGATTGTACCCCAGATACAAGTCATCAAGAACAAATGTCACTTATATTAAGATGTGTAGATATTTCAATAAGTCTAATAAAAATAGAAGAGTACTTTATAGATTTTATAAAAGCGGATGATACTTCTGGTTAAGGCATTTTTAATGTTCTCACAAGTACATTAAAAAATCTTGAACTTGATGTAAATAATGTAAGAGGACAAGGATATGATAATGGGTCTAATATGAAAGGTAAACATCAAGGTGTGCAAAAAAGATTATTAGATATAAATTCTACAGCATTTTATACACCATGTGGTTGTCACGGTCTTAATTTAGTTCTTTCTGACATGGCTAATTCATGTGCTAATGCTATTACATTTTTTGGAGTGACACAATGCATATACTCATTATTTTCTTCTTCTATAAAACGATGGAAAATTTTGCAAGATCATGTTTCTAATTTGACACTTAAGCCATTATCACAAACACATTGGGAAAGTCGTGTTGAAAGTGTTAAAACAATAAAATTTCAAGCTCCACAAATAAGAGATGCTTTATATCAATTAGTAGAAACTAGTGAAGATCCTAAAACAAAAAGTGAAGCTATTTCTTTAGTAACATATGAGATTAGGCATGAATATTTGGTATGAAATGTTATTTGTTGTTAATACAGTTAGTAAATATTTACAATATAAAAATATGGACATTGTTGTTGCAACAAATCAGTTGAAAGGTCTTGTTTCATTTTTTGAAAAATGTAGAGAAAATGGGTTTACATCTTCTATGATTCCTGCTAAAGAGATTGCAAAGCAAATGAATATAGAATCAAAATTTTATGAAAAACGTACAATAAAGAGAAAAAAACAATTTGATAAGAATGAAAACGAAGAGATGAAATTGTCTGCTAAAGAATCTTTTAGAATAAATTATTTCACATATTTAGTTGATCATGCAATTTTCTTACTTCAAAGTAGGTTTGAACAATTTGAAATATATAATAATAATTTTGGTTTCTTTTATAATATAGAAAAGTTAAAATTGCTTGATGATGATAGTTTGCAGAAACATTGTTTAAATCTTGAAAACTTTTTAAAACATGACATGCTCTCTGATATTGATGGTTTAGATTTATATTCATAATTAAAAGTTTTAAAAGAAATTATAAACGTGGAAATTAAAACACTACTTGAGATACTAGATTTTATTAAAAAAAAGAAAGAAAAAAAGTGAATTCTTTTTCAAATGCATGGACAGCTTATAGAATAATATTAACTATTCATGTTACTGTAGCTTCAACATAAAGAAGTTTTTCAAAATTAAAGTTAATAAAATCTCATTTGCACAAGAAAGATTAGACAATTTGACTATATTATCTAGGGGTGTTCGGTTCCGGGTACCCTGCACTTTTGGAAGGAACCGGAACCGGAACCGGAACCGACGGTTCCTTGAATTTTGGAACCAGAACCGGAACCGACGGTTCCGGTTCCTAGATACCCAGAACCAGAACCTGTAACAACGGTTCCGGTTCTGGTTCTGGGTACCCTGTAAAATTTATTTTCTGTCCCCCAAGTGTTTAAAATAACAAAAAAAACTCTTAAAAACTTACAAATACCCCCCACTTGGCACTTGTTATTAACAAAATTAAAATTATAAATTTCAAATTTCAAACTCCAAAATTAAAATAATACAATACTCCGTTGAAAATCACAAATTCAAAATTATAAACTCCAAAACTAAAACGATGAAATTACAAAACAGATTTCATCCTCCTCAGCTCACAAAATGTTCTCTTAAGGAAACTGCATTTCCTTTGCTGCCCCTGTCCAGTGAATTTCCCAGGCTGCCCTTTTTCTTCTTTTTGTATAATTTGGTTGTAGGAGGCTTATCACAATGACATTGTTCCTGCAAAAAATTTGCCAAGTTCAACTTCAAAAGAATTTAACATACATATAATGTTTAATAAACATAGTGACCAAAGGCAACTTCCTTATGCCATGGGCTGTTTCTCTTGTGTTCTATAAAAACAATCAAAATCTAGACCCAATTGATTAAGACATTCCAAAAAATTCCTAAAAGACAGCAACAAGCAAAGAACCCCAATACAGAATCATTGCCATCTCCCAATTGTGAGATGAATAAAGAAAAAAGTGCACATCTTTAATTCCCAGGAAATGGAAGCCCTGAGAGAAGCCCAATACTTGGCCAAGCTCCATAAATACTAGACTTCTCCCCATTATATGTTTAAAACTCTACTGACTCCACTTTCAATTTTATACTTTTCTATTTCAGTATACTGGACGGGAGAATTTAAAAGACATGTATACTCTCTTGAATATTGGCTTACACCACTTGGCCTTTCTTTTAAAGGAATCAATCATCAAAGAAAATTAAATGCATACAGATCCAGCCCATAGCTCAATATGAAATACTAGAAATTACGCATAATATTGTGGAATGAGAAATGGGAAAAGAATAAAAGAATGCAAATAGAATATACATCAGCAATGCAGAGAATAGAGGGGATAGAAAGAAAGAATATACCAGGTAATTCTGCCACTGATTTACTGCAAGCAAACTTTTTTTGCAGCTCTGATGCTAATGCTTCAGCATCCAGCAAGAACGATTCCAGACCTGAAACTTTTGTCACCTTCTTGTTTCCTTGTCGCGTTCCGTTAATATCTGAATTGTTTTCAGCGCACCTTTACGAACAACAGACTCGCTTCCTCGGGTCACAACATGGTGGGGCTGCATCCGGCTTACAAATGTTGATCCTAATTCTTTCTTATGTATCTCTGTTGGGTATGTTGTTCCTTTCTTAATGGCTCCCTTGAACAATGCATCACATAAAGTTGGATCCAAAACCACAATGGATTTATTAGTAGGCTTAACCAAATTTTCTTTCTCGATGTACTTGAAAACAACCTCACTGGCTTCAGAGGCACTGTAAAGTTTTCCTATATCAGCACCAACAGAGGTGAAAACAGAGTTGACATGCACACTTGGTTTATAAATTTCTGCCACTTCTAGCAATTTTTGAGATCGACTATCAGTAGCGGCACCATCAACTGCCTGATTGGTTTTCTCTACTTGCCGTTTCTCTGGCTTGAAGGATACGTAGTCCGGATGACTGCGGTTAACAGAAAACAATACCACTTCCTTCTTATATTTATCTTCTTTCACAGAAATCTGGTATTACCACGAACAAAGTAAGAATAACAAGGTATGGACAAAAACTTATTTTGCATTTCATAGATCATGAATTAATAAAAGAAACATTCATCCCTCATCCCATTGCAAGTTTGCAACTGTGAAAATATTCACATTACTGGAACAATATCGTTACCAAACTTTTCTTTATAATATAGCATTATCATACTTGTAATGTGGGTCGTCACATTTTGTCGTTGAACGTAAATTTGTCACGTCATAACATTCATGCTACGTAACTTTACCCAAGTAACATTAAATGTAAACTAATGAGATTATATCTTGTTACAAGTTTAACATTCAATGTTACCAAAATCACATTTAATGTTACAATGAGATCTTACAAATTTTAAACCAAAAAAAAAAAAAGGAATTATTGCTTCCTATATCATGTTTCTACTCTCCATGTCATTTTCATCAAAAATAATTTGCTCTATTATCATTAAGGGAAAAAAAAAAAGAAAGAGTAAACCTCACTCAGAGATTTGCCAGCATATAAAAGTAGCTCAATGGGGATCCTAAAGTGGAATATGCTGAGATAATAAACAACTAAACTTGGCTCCTCATGCCTTAAATCTCACACAAAGCAGTCTCGGGCCACAGCAATCTAAAAAGCACTAACCCACACAACAACTATAAAGTAGATAGGTCTTAAGGGTCAAAGTGATGCCTCTAAAGCTCATATAGTTTCTTTGAACTGGATTTACTATATTCTTTTGTTTATTAAAGTTGTATAACTATTTAGATTAGTTATATCTAGCTTTGTTACATGTAATTCTTTTTCATATAACTTGATTAATTTGATGGTTCTAGAAACCATAATTTATTATTTTGATCATTCCAGTTGCACAATATAAATAAAAATGTCAAGGATGAAATTGAAATATAAAGAGAATATAGGGGCTAAATGATAGTCAATTTGGGAGAATCTATCTCCCAAATGCGAAATGCATGAACTGTTTATAGTAAATGTACCGCCCGTTTTCTCAAGTAAAATATCACCACTTGCCTTGCCATACGTTAACATTATACACATAATGCTTTGAGTTAGACTCTTAAGTGGACATATGCAACTAGGTGTATTATAAAGTTATATTGCCTTAAGTAATAAGTTCTTCAACTTGTATTGCCTATTTTAAGTAATATGTTGTCTAAAGCCAACTCAAAGTGAAACATGCACCATCCTAGTTGGGGCCATTAAATAAAAAATTTAGTGTTTATTATCTTTACTTAAAAGTGAGATTCTTGCTTCCAAGATATCAAAATTCTATGCAAATGTAGTTCACCATAATCACATGGTATGATACCACATGAAAATGATTATGAATATATTAAAAATAGGAGGAAGAAAGAATATAAAGACAATTGAAAAGCAAGTGAAGAAAAAATTGTTATTTGTGATTCACAAATCAATCAAATTGTATGAAAAAATTACATATGCGTAGTCTGAGACAAACTAGAAAACCAAGTAATCCAAATAATACAACTTAAATAGTATACAAAGAAGTATATAAATAATACAACTATAACAAACTAGTACACCCAATATGTAAAATTTCTTTAAAATAAAAATTAGACTAATCAAATAATATTAAAAAAAAAAAAAAAAAATCTTTATGATAATATCCCCATTATAAAAGACACACAATTCCTCAACTCTAAGCATGTATTGAAGTACTTGACATTCTTTAAATGTCCTCCAATAAGTCCTTAGTGAATTTTTTTTTTCAATCTAAAANGGAAAAAAAAAAAGAAAGAGTAAACCTCACTCAGAGATTTGCCAGCATATAAAAGTAGCTCAATGGGGATCCTAAAGTGGAATATGCTGAGATAATAAACAACTAAACTTGGCTCCTCATGCCTTAAATCTCACACAAAGCAGTCTCGGGCCACAGCAATCTAAAAAGCACTAACCCACACAACAACTATAAAGTAGATAGGTCTTAAGGGTCAAAGTGATGCCTCTAAAGCTCATATAGTTTCTTTGAACTGGATTTACTATATTCTTTTGTTTATTAAAGTTGTATAACTATTTAGATTAGTTATATCTAGCTTTGTTACATGTAATTCTTTTTCATATAACTTGATTAATTTGATGGTTCTAGAAACCATAATTTATTATTTTGATCATTCCAGTTGCACAATATAAATAAAAATGTCAAGGATGAAATTGAAATATAAAGAGAATATAGGGGCTAAATGATAGTCAATTTGGGAGAATCTATCTCCCAAATGCGAAATGCATGAACTGTTTATAGTAAATGTACCGCCCGTTTTCTCAAGTAAAATATCACCACTTGCCTTGCCATACGTTAACATTATACACATAATGCTTTGAGTTAGACTCTTAAGTGGACATATGCAACTAGGTGTATTATAAAGTTATATTGCCTTAAGTAATAAGTTCTTCAACTTGTATTGCCTATTTTAAGTAATATGTTGTCTAAAGCCAACTCAAAGTGAAACATGCACCATCCTAGTTGGGGCCATTAAATAAAAAATTTAGTGTTTATTATCTTTACTTAAAAGTGAGATTCTTGCTTCCAAGATATCAAAATTCTATGCAAATGTAGTTCACCATAATCACATGGTATGATACCACATGAAAATGATTATGAATATATTAAAAATAGGAGGAAGAAAGAATATAAAGACAATTGAAAAGCAAGTGAAGAAAAAATTGTTATTTGTGATTCACAAATCAATCAAATTGTATGAAAAAATTACATATGCGTAGTCTGAGACAAACTAGAAAACCAAGTAATCCAAATAATACAACTTAAATAGTATACAAAGAAGTATATAAATAATACAACTATAACAAACTAGTACACCCAATATGTAAAATTTCTTTAAAATAAAAATTAGACTAATCAAATAATATTAAAAAAAAAAAAAAAAAATCTTTATGATAATATCCCCATTATAAAAGACACACAATTCCTCAACTCTAAGCATGTATTGAAGTACTTGACATTCTTTAAATGTCCTCCAATAAGTCCTTAGTGAATTTTTTTTTTCAATCTAAAATGATGACATGCCTAAAGCAATAATTTCTTCAATTCCCAATAATATTTATTGCAAAATTATTGAACACAAACAAGTAATTTTCGACTTAGAATATCCAAAATTGCTTCAATAACATTATTAAGAGAAATGAAAAAATTTTAAAAAACAAAATTAGGAAACACACCAGTCCTGAAGAAGCTTTAGCTTGCAACCATTTAGCCAGTTTCTTATGCGATGATTTCTTGACATCCAGCATGATACCTGAAGGCCTACAGGGTAATACATGGTTTGACCTGTGTCCGTCCAAAACAACAACGATGTTCGTTATAAATGTCCATCAACATTGAAAAAGATGCACCAAACAATTATCAGTCCAATACAATGTTTAAAGAAGCAAGGGAAACTACACTCTTTGACATCGTGAGCTTGAACAGTTATAAAAAAAGCTGTGTTCATTTGCACCTTTAATGAATGCCTATCTTTAATATTTTGTGGGTCCTCAAAAACTTAGTGAACTTCACTTTTATGAATTTCAGCTAAAACTGCAATGTAAAATTTTAATGCCAAAATGGCTTCAACCTTGACTAAAGTAGAAATAACTATCAACCCAAAACCAACACTTTGCTCACTGCTTATATCAGCATATCCATGCTAAAAGAAATTGGCTTAAATGATCAAATATTCCCTTGTTCCAAACATCCCCAAAAAGATTGATTAACTCACTGTAATCATTTATGAAAACAAACTACTGGACAACTAAATTTGCCATGAACATATGCACATGACTCTAAAACCAACATATAAGACTGATAACAAAGAAAACAAAGATTATCCCAACTAAAACATCAAAGGTATGATCTCTTCAATCCCCCCCAATGCACAAAGAGAACATATGGATAATGTGACATCAATAAAAATATCCTACCACAATGTGCTTCCGGGTATTGGCAGGTCTTTATCCTTCACTGTAGTATGCAAAGCTTGTAGAAGGCATTTGTCCAAATGAGCATCCACATCCTCAGTGGATAGAACATGCTGCTCCACACTTGATTCATCAGCATCCAAATTTTCTGTTAATTTCAAATCATTTACACCTGCAGTTACCAGCTCGGCTGCATTACCCTGATGATCATTTTGTGTAATTGAACCAGGATTAGGTTCAGAAATGACATCTTTTACATCAGCTGTTCCCCCTTCTTCAGTTGCTATGTCACTCTGTTGATCATTTGAACTCTCGGCAATGCCTTCCCATGAATCAGAAACTTGACATGTTGACAAAAAAGCAGGATCTGCAAGGACCACATCTTCAAAAAAACCTGCATTTGGCACATAATGGCCCTCAACTGATTCCCTGCAGAACATTTCAAAACAATGTCAGTTAGGAACTTATAAATCAATCTCCCATATGGTATCTATCTATACTTGCCAAAGTAAGTCACGATAATAGTGAGTTATCCTTAGAGCCTTTCCACGCAAACCAGCTTTTACTGCTTCAGTGCTGCTCATAGTGGTAGAACCAACCTGTGTTAAGATCAATTAACTTTTAAAGTCCGTGAAAAGGATATTAATCTACTTAGCCCATCTTTTGTGTGTGTGAGAATGTGTGCATGTGTGTCTGTATGTGTATCTGTGCGTGTTATGAATTGAGCAGAATTACAAATAAGCTTACTGCAATAGGAGCTGGATTGCCAGGAACTTTTATAGCCCATGGTTCCCCAGATAAAAACGATGGTAGACCTTCTGAGGGTATGCTTATACCAGGGAACATCAAATCTGCCCCGCCAATGACAAATCGTGAGACCTCACCCCCCTTCAGCATAAAAGACGGCAGCAGATCAGGGACTTTCCACAGAGCAAAAACTGCTTGAAGAAATAGTAAACTATTAAAACCAGATAAAAAATGGAATAGATAGTGAGCACATTAAAAGAATTTCCCACTACCTCAAGGTTTATCAAAGGGTTATATAATACAAATTGTTTTAGTAAATCTGCTATCTAATAAAAGAAAGGCTATAACCTATACAATTTTTCATCTGTAGACCTTTATGACAAATCTCACTTTTAGCTTGCTCGTATTTACGAATCAAGTTACTTAGAAGTGAAAGTCCCTCACAACTTGTTTCATATATTGATTTCTTACGTTGACCTCTAATTGAGATGAAGAAAGTGAAATAGACCAAAATAAAACACGAGTTAGACTCCAAGCAAGACACACAAAAGGCTAAATGATATTACTCTTAAAGAAGACATTAAACAAGAGACCAGAATGTCATGCATAAGGTACAAGCAAGAAGATTCATAATGTACAAGCAAGAAGAATGAAGACTGGCCATGAATAATTCATCCCATTTTTCTGTGATTTCTTATTTTTGTGCATCATGAGACACATCGAGACAGCAAATTCTGACATGGAGATTCTAAATGAGTCAGTAGTGATGCATGAAGACAATTGGTAATGGCCTATGAAATTCTTTAATGAAGAATATGCTTCCTCATATCCTAAGTTTATCAAAAAAATATAGGTCTAAATCCACATAATCATACTTTATCCAAAGCTATTAAAAGAAAACAAAAGAGTTCTAAAACTCACGAGGGTCATCACAACACCTCATCATAATCATGCAAACATGGAATAAATCAAATATTAATTTGAGAAAAGTTATACTTGAAATCTTTCTCTGTAATAGATTAGAATCCAGGTATCAATCATAAAGGCATGTAAGAAGATATTACAAGTACCAATTAATTATGTTGATTGTACTTTTCAATTACCATGCAATAAATAAATTATGATAGCAACAGTCTATTAAAAGGTTGTTTAATGTGTTATAATAAGATAAATGCAAACCACATTCAATCGAATTTGGGGAAATTGCATGCTTTTCTGTGAGCAAATTCCATTTCTCCTAAACAAGAAAGCTCCATAGTCTCATATCAACCATTCAACAAATTTCAGTTTTCTAATATATGATCAAATTTGTACAATAAATTCATGTTTTAATCAAGGGATAATTAGACAAACCTCCTAGAGGTCTTATCAAAATATAGGGTAAATGTAAGTTTCATTTTCTTTTTCTTGCAATCAAATTAAAAAATCAAACTTACATTTCTGAGTGGATTTTGAGTAAACCTATGGGATGGTTGTGAAATTAACCCTAGACATAAAGTTCCCTATGCAACCATTGCAATTGCAAAGAATTTCCAAATTAAGAGAAGTAAAGAATTTACATAACAAACCGCTAAAAGAATTGGAAGGAACATCCAGGCATGAAATAATTCAAATACCTGTGGGAAATATATCTGTGCCTCGTCCATCAATGTCAAAAAACATAGGTAAACCACCTTCAACACTATATAAAAGTACCCGATTTTGAAACTTTGAAAGTGTGATCTCTACCTATATAAAATTTTCAAGTATAAATTCAAACAATTAGTAGAAAACACAATAACAATAGTTCCTAGCCTCCACTCATTTCTCAAAAAGAAAAAGGTAAACTGAATAAAACTTCAACTGCCTCATCCAGTTTCATGAAGGACTTTAACGTAAATTAATTGTCGATAAACAACGGCTTGATCCTTAGATGTCAAAGAAAAACAAATGGTGATCCAGATCTTAAAAAAGGTAGGCTGGCCGCAGCTCATAAAATCATAGATACTTACAAAAACATACACTAGGTACTACTTATACATCATCTGAGAACATGTTTGCTTTTTAATCAATACCCATATACCCTTTGAGTAAATCAATACCCAGACAAAATTCTAAAAATAAAAACCACTTATTTCGCTCGTTATTATTTCCTAATACCTTTTTCTTTCTCTTAATCTTTGTTTCATTTCAATGAAGTTCAAAATTTTACTTTAGATTATCATTATCAACTTCCTTTATAATTTCTTTCTTTTATACAACATGCAACCAATATACCATTCACTCATAAATTTCCACACATTTCACAATCAATTCTTTAATAATAATTAAACATTTACAGCTAAACTTATTATCACTACCAACATTAAAGTAACAAACAAATAAACTAAAATTTCCCCTCTCATATTGCATACAGATATTATAATTTGTTCTATAACACACTCCGGACTTTCATCGAACACATAGACGGCATTCTCATTCACCAAATTCTAAACCGACAAAACTCAAAATTACCACATTTTAACTATAATTCTTCTTTAAAAGTACAGATATCATTATCTTTTTTTTTTTCTTTGATTAATAAATTTTCCCTGTACCGCCGATTTTTTTTTTTTTTTTTTCAAACTAATTAATTAAAAAGAAAAAAAATGATAAAGAGGCGTACCTTGGGAGGGAGTAAAGCGTCGAAATCGAGATCGGAAGCGCGAGGGAACCTCTCTCTGAGAGTTCTCTTCAGCTTCTTCCGGTCAGCTCCCGAGAGTCTCTGGTGCGATTTCGCCTCAACGGACTTCTTGAACATTTTGATTCTTGTTAATGCTTTGATTAATGTGAAGAATTGTTGCTGGGGATTGAAAAAGAATAGATAGGTTATATTAATGGAAAGTTTCTTAAGAGGAAATAGTAAGGCGGTGGCGCGGTGGCAGTGATGAAGTAGGAGAATTTTTGCCCTCTTTACAATTACTATCAGGGTGAATGACAAATTCCCCCTTAGGTATTATTAAATAACAATAATCTCCCTGTAGTTATACTAGTAATAATTTTCCTACAGTTAAATTTTTGGGATTAAAATAATCAGCAGAACGTAATTTTATAAATACTATATTTGTAAATAATTATATAACAAAGCATCTATTAAAGGTTCATATTTTTTTTAATGATTTTGAAAGTGATAATTTTAAGAAGTTTATCGTAATTAATTTGTTTTGACAAGTTGTTTATAATATGCTCATATATAAATGCATTATTTTAAAACCTGAACCGGAAGGTAACTAGTTTTGCTGTCCGGTTCATAGGTCAACCGATCCAATCCGTTGGACTGATGACGTCGGCTACAATTTTATTTTTTAAAAATTACTATTATCCCTCAAATTTTAATATATTACAAAAATTCTCCAAAAAAATTAATTAGTCCCTAAAATTTTTATTTTTTCAAACATACCCCAAAAAATTACCAATTAATCTCTAAACTTGTGACATTTCTCTAAAACATCCCTATAAAATGACAATGAACCCTTATAATTTTGAAATATTACAAAAACCCCTAAGACCTGAACCAGACCGGAGAAACTGCCAGGTCCTAGTCTGACCGGTCCGATTTTTAAAACAAAGTATAAATGATCTTAAACTTGATACCTTATAGATATTTATTAAGAGGGCATCCAAATTGATGAACAAATTAAATTTACGGTCAATTAATAATTTTTGTAAACCCTAAGTATGGGATTTGATCAATTTTCGGAATTTTTTTTTTCAAAACCTAACTAGGAAAGAGCGTTATATTTAACTCTTAAGTAGAGTAAGAAGGTAATTTGTAAATTATAATTATTTCATTAATTATTTATAAATTTAAAATATTTTAATTATAAAATCATATTTAACTAAAATAATTGAAAAGAAAAGAAAAGAAAATTATTTTATTATTTAATTTAAAAAAATAATTTATGAATGATTGTAAAATATTTTATTTATGTTTTAATTTTTTTAAGAGAGAACGACCTTGTCCCACCCAAGGTTTGACGAAATAACACTTTCTCACCCATCAAGTTTTAAAATGACACTTTTCCACCTAGATTATGTTATGTTTTTCATTAATATTTTACCGAAAATGCTATAATATCCTTAAATATTTGACTTTATAAGATTTTTATTATTTTTAATTTGCCAAAAAGTTAAATATTAAAAAGTCAAAAAAGAAAAAATAATTAACCCTACCTAAAAAGTTAGAAATAATGTTACGAAATTGTGTAAAGTTAAATGACATTAATATTTATTTATTTATTTATAATATCATCAATATTTCATCACTATTATTCAATAATCTACTAAATTTATAATGTTTTTCATAATATAATATTTTTCATTTTTACTAATTAACATAGAAAATCAATATTCATAATTAATTAAATAAACAAAGGAAAAAATGTATCTTTACACTTGAATTAATAAAAAATCGAATAAATACTTTAACTTAAATAAATTTTAATTTGTAATAAACTAATTAAGAAATAAACTATTTAAGGGTATTTTTATCTTTTCATCAATATAACAGAATATACTAACAAAACCTATGATGGTGGGAAAGTGTCATTTTGAAACTTAAGGGTAGGAAAATGTCGTTCCCCCTTTTTTAATTATCTTACTTTTTAATTTTAAAAATATTTTAAATATAATAATTGAAAATATTAAAATAATATATTTTAGTTTTAATTTTTTTTTTTAAATTTGTATAATAGTATGTTTACCTTTATATATAACTAGACATAGGCTCGTGCATTGCGTGACTATGTTTATTCAATGTTTTTAAAATAGATATAAATAAATATTCTAACAAATAACCTAATTAGATTAAGACATAATGTATAATTGTTAAATTATACAAATTTTAAAGTATATATAAATTATATATATATACAAAATTATGTTAAGATAAAATTAATAATTGTACTTGTATAATTATTAATATCAATTATAGGTAGATGTCATTAAATCATTCATCAACTGAGAAAGATCATTTGAATATTATATGGTCTAATTTATTTTAGGATCATCATCTATTTTTATAGACATGTCTTTGATATTGGATGTCAGTATTTTGTAGTGAACGTGTATGATATTAATATACCTGAATATATCAAGATCAACTATTTAAACGTAAAATTTATACTGACTTCTGCAATTTCTGTAACTTATATTCTTTTCCAAGTTGCATTGCGGGGATATGTTATATATTTTTTTATATATTATTAGTTTTTTGTGTGTTTTAGATATATATTTTTTATATTGGAGTTCATTTTATATTGAATTGATAATTAAAAAAATCAATAAATAAAATATCCATAAATTGAACTCAAAGTCTATATCATCATGGTTCTTCTCAAATTTTTCACCATTTGATGTCAGCATCAAAGTTAAAAATTTGTCAGAAAAGTAAAAAATTTGCAGGATAATTCATTGGGTATGATGAAGTCTATAAATCAATAAGAGAAAGAGAAACATTGTTGAAAAATGTGAACTTTTAAGCAAGAGACTTGCAGAGTCAAAAGAAAAAACTGATTTTGATTATTGAGAAAAGAAATGAATTATTTTATTATTATATTTTGAAATAAAAAAAAATTAAGAATGTTGAGAAGAGAACTCACATAGAAAGTAACAACAACTCCTACAGTATAATCTGAAGGCAACTTAATTGAAGCATTTAAGAAGTCATGAAGATAAGGTCCTCTGACACAAATCCATTTACTAATTAGAATTGACCACCACCTATAGAAAAAAAGCATTTAAGATAGCATCCTAAAAAAAGACAATAATCGTAAAACCACAAATCAAACACAAAACCAATCCATAAATTAACAAAAAAAGATCGAACAAATACAATTAAAACTATATATTAATATTGTTTTTCTTTGGCATCACTGAAATTGAATTGTTTTATGTGTGTGATGATAATAAATAGTTCAACAACAAGTATATAGTTATTCAAATTCATTGTATAAATATCAAATTATATCTTTCTAGTTTCCAAAGATTCAAACTGCTCATCAATTGGATTTTTATTGGCAAGTTATAGCTATTTTACTACTTACTATTCAGTGGAAATCAAGAAATAAGGAAAAACCAAAAATATAATGATAAAAGAATAGTTTAAAAATAGGGTTACAGTTATCCAAATTAAGCATATAATATATCAAATTAAAGCCCTGTCTATTAGTTTCTAAAGATCTAAACTACTCATCAATTGGATTTTATTGAGTAAGTTATGGTCAATTACTACTGACTGTTAAGTGAAAACCAAAATCTGTATAATGATAAAATGAATGGTTTGGTAGTGGTGCTAGTTATCCTTAAGCGTATAATGCACAACTTAAATCCCTATCTGTCTAATTTCTAAAGATTCAAACCTCTAATCAATTGGATTTTTATTGAGCAAGTTATGGTCAATTACTACTGACTAAATGGAAACCGAAATGTATGTGATAAAAAATGAATGATTGATAGTGGGGCTATAGTTATCCAAATTAAGCGTATAATATATCAATTAAAGCTCTTTGTCTAGTTTCTAATGATTCAAATCTCTCATCAATTAGGTTTATTAAGCAAGTTATAGTCAATTTACTACTGATTGTTCAGTAAAAACCTAAATGTGTGTGATGATAAATGAATGGTTTACTAAAGCTGTTCAACATCAAACATCAGTTGATATTTGTAAATAAATGAAATTAGTTATATTCAACAACAACCTTTTTTCATGATATATTAGTAATATAAAAGATAGAATAATTATAATTAAAACTACATATCAATATTTGTTTTCTTTAAGGATAATAATAATGGTTCGGCATATTACAAATGGTTTACTAAAGCTCATGGTTTAGCATATTACAAATGGTTTACTAAAGCTACATAGTTCAGCAACAAACATCAAATAATATTTATAATAAATAAAATTTGTTATCTTCAGCAACACACTGTTTTCGATATATGTATATAACATAAAAAAAATATCAAAAAAATAGACAAATACAATTAAACTACATATCAATATTGTTTTCCTTTGTCATCACTTAAATTGAATTGGTTTTATGTGTACGATAATAAAATGAAATAGTTCGACTGCAGGTCTATAGTTATTCAAATTATCGTAATATATCAAATTAATTTTCTATCTTTCTAGTTTTCAAAGATTCAAATCACTCATCAATTGGATTTTTATTGAGTAAGTTATGACTAATTTACTACTGATTGTTCAGTGAAATCGAGAACAGGAGAAACCAAAATGTGTGTGATAATAAAAGGAATGGTTCAGAGTGGGGCTACATTTATCAAATCAACCGTATAATATATCCAATTAAAGCCCTAACTTTCTAGTTTCTAAAAATTCAATCCTCTCATCAATTGGAGTTTTATTGAGTAAGTTATGGTCAATTTACTCTACTATTTAGTGAAAACTAAAATATGTGATGAAAAAGGAATGGTTAGGCAATGGGCCTACAGTTATCCAAATTAAGCGTATAATATATCAAATTAAAGTTGTTTGTTAGTTTTTAAAGATTCAAATCTCTCATAAATTGGAGTTTTATTAAGTAAGTTATGGTCAATTTCTACTGACTATTCAGTGGAAACCGAAATGTGTGCGATAAAAAATGAATGGTTTGCCAGTGAGGCTACAGTTATCCAAATTAAGCATATATATATCAATTAAAGCCCTGTCTATCTAGTTTTCAAATATTAAAACCGCTCATCAATTGGATTTTATTGAGCAAGTTATTACTAATTTATTATTGACTGTTCAGTGAAATCGGGAATAGGGGAAACCAAAATGTGTGTGATGATAAAATAAATGGTTAGAAGTAGGGCTACATGTATCAAAATTAAACGTATAATATATCAAATTAAGCCCTGTCTGTCTAGTTTCTAAAAATTTAATCCTCTCATCAATTGGATTTTTAATTGAGCAAGT